CTCACAGCACAGATCTCCTTGCTGAAACACTCCTCTGCCTCCGAACCACAGTGCCTCACTTCCTTCCACCCACAAGGCCAAACAGGATCTCCTGAGAGTCGTACCGGATTTGCACAGAATGGGCAGATTACCAGCTCTGTGGGACACAACTTTGACTTCTGCCATTGTCAGGAAGTCTGAGGGGACAACAAACCCTCCTTTTCCTACCCACTGCCTGCTCTTTCCGCCAGCAGTGAAGTCAGAGCCCCTGGAGCAAGACTCAGCCCACTGATTCAAGTGAACCTGTGCCTGGTGAGAAAGCAGACACAGAATCCACTAAACGCACCTGCAAGATCCAGTCCTGCTGGCCCAATGCGCATCGGCATCCTCTTTTCCAGCTGCAACATGCCACAACACATCTTCTTTCCATATCCCTTTCCCACTGTTTCTTACTGACAACCACATGAAGTCTGGAGGGATTTTGCTGCAGTAGAATAGATCTGGGAATCTCTGTAAAATCCATATTCCTCACGAGTTAATTTCCTGGAGTCAACCAAACTTCAAAGCTCTGAAAACTGGGGCTGAAGAGGGATCTCTTCAGGGATATTTATGCTTTCTAGATATTACTGCTTTCCAGCAGTAAGGCAACATCCTCACGCTTGCACTAGGAATAATGCAGGGCTTTTTCCTTCCTTGAATCAGACAACAATAATTTGGGTCCGAGAGGAGTGTGTGTCTCAGTTCCTTAGTCTTCAAGTTATCTCCAGAGAACCTGAGGCGCTTGTGCAGGGCACTTTCCTGGCATTCTAACAATGCTTGCTCAGGTTTATTCGTAATGAAGCTTATCTCCCACTTGTCCTTTTCCTTCTTGGTTGTCATCCAAGTGTGATGTCTACTTGGATTCTATCCTAGGGAGCCCTACAGTGATGGGCTGCGCGCTGGGTCTTCAAAGAGCTCTAGGCACCCACGAGGGGTTCTAAGTGCTCGGGCAGCTATTTTTATCAGCCTCCAGGCATTTGACAATTAGGATCTCGGTTAAGGCAACGCATGAATTGCACAACGTAACCTGACACCTGTCAAGCTAAGGAACACATGCTTAACACTGTGACTTTGTCTAGATTTCACCTATGCAAAATACCACATCACGGCACACACAAAAATAACTAATGGCAGCACTGCCAGCAGCTGACAATTGTGCATTTCCCACATATTTTAACCTCCTTATTTCTTGTAAATAAATCTTTAAGTCATCACTTGCATCAGTTTCACAGCATTTTCCCAGCAAGCAACAACACACAATAGACCCACAGTTCCTAAGTGTGAAACGTGGCTCCTTCAGCCCTGATGTGTCTCCTGCACCAAGCGTGCCAGCAGATCAGGCCTGTAACAGGTCACGGCTCATCACTTGATGAGCTCAATCCTGCTCTTTGGAGCCACTGCCACTGAAAAGACTCAGATACCATTACCTGAGAGGGTTTGTTTTTTCAAGTGGTTTGGTCAGCTAATCCACCAGAACACCAACCATCTGCAAGAGAATTTTTAAGTGCTTTATCTAGCAACAGCCCCATTCCAAGGTTCAATAGAAGAAGAGTCAGCAGGAGTCTATAGCTGAGGTGTGGGAGGTAGAAAGAGGGGGGTTGTCTAGTGCAGAGGTGTTATTACAGCAAATAAACAACTGCATTAAATATAGGCATGTTTTGAGCCTCAAATGTGAGCAGAGGAGTGCTTGTATTTCTCTCAGAAGGTTTCTGCTCTCCATTTCCTAATTAGCACCCTCTGGACTTTTCCAAGAGCCGTTTCGGTTCAACAGCCGAGCAGTAATAGTATGGATTTCACCAACAGACTGAACGGGCTTGCCGCAATGTCACCCACGCTCATAGGTGCGATACCTACAACATTCCCTGGGTGCAGGGAATGGCAGCCAACAGACTGTCTTGACGCAGAGGCAAGACAGGCCTGGTGACACAAAAAGGCCATCCCAGCAGGGCGCGGATTAAACACAAAGGGCCTGCATATAAGTTTCCTGAGTCAATAATGGGAATCCTTCATGTCCGCATAAAGCCAGAGGTTCTAGGGATATCAGCTCTGCCATCTAAAATACGAAGGGTTTCTTAGGTCTGTTTTTCTGTTTTGGTTTGGTTTTTTTTGTTGTTGTTTTTTAGCAGTGCTAAACAGCTTGACTCAAAAAACAAAAAAAAAACTGAGATATCAGTGGCATCAGTGCTCTACCTGATTTGGACCAGGCCTCATCTGATTTGTAGATTACAGCAGTCTGTTGGCTTTTTTGTTGTTGTTGTTGGTTGGTTGGGTTTTTTTTTTTTTTGGTATTACCTTAATTGCTTAAATTTCAGCATCATCCAGGTGCCTAACAAGATCTCTAATTCATCTCCCAGCGCCCAGGGAAATGTTTGCAACTGTAAGAGAGGTTGGCCCTCTACTGAAATAATGTAAAACTACATCTCTGGGAGCATTTTCAATCCCATAGCGAACCACCCTGTGCACAGAATGGCCGTGCAGCATCAAGCTACACTCTGCAGCCTTCCCTGCCTCTTCCTTCTGCATACACCTCCCCTGACCAAGACTGATTTTCAAACCTTACCAGGAGAAAGACATGGCAATAGTTCTGCTAAAAGGAGGAAAGTAGAAGCTTCAAGATAAAACCAGCTGTTCAGCCAAAGCGAACACCCTAGCCACCTTTGTCGTTCGCTCTAAAATGCAACATCTGGCTCTTCTACATTAGGCCTCTACTTGTCCGAGCGGTCTACTGAGAGGAGCAGTTGTGTAAAATGGGCCCTTCCAGTCCCCCTGGCTGAGCTCCCCAGGTGGATTCGCAGCTTTAGACTTTGCTGTTTACTATATGCTTTTACTGTATGTTATTCTTGTTAGCATTACTGAGTCCAGTTAGCCATGGAAGAACAAGCTAGATTCTCTCTTGGCTCATGCCACAAAAGCCTATTTTGTTTAAAGAGTTTTGATAGCACTTCATAGCTCTTTGATAGCAACTTATACTTAGTTGTGAGCTATGAGCCAGAAAGAGGACAGTATAATTTTGAAAAACTGTTGCAAAATCTGTAAAAAAAAAAAAAAAAAAAGTCAAGTCTTATCTCCATCGGTGACGTGAGGGTTACTGTGAGCCTCACATCTTTGTCTCTTGAAGAGTTCATGGTCACACAGCTGCTGAGAAAGCTTGAAGATGCAGGCTTCAACAGCAAAGAAGCATTTATATCCTGCTTTCCAAACATTATTATTTTTTATTCTACTGAGGAAGCGAGGAAGACTTGTTTCGCTCACTTCAGTCACAGAGCCCGTGCGGGAAGGCCCAGGAGCCACCAGCTTCCTCAGGAATGGCTTATGAGGTGGCTCCACGTCACCAGCTGCCACCACAAACACCAAGAGAACTAAAATCTCTTTTATGCCCCTGACCTTCAAGAAGAAGGTGACATAACAAACTGCAAAGACACATATACTTTTTTCTTACTCCTAAGATCTACCTTTACCCAAATCCATATCCCTAGTAGTTTTTTTTTTTTTTTCCCCCCGGAAGTTCTGGACTTTCTGCACACTCGGTGAACTGTGTAGGAGAAAGCAATGGCCAATTTTGAGACAGCTTCATTCCCAGTGTGCTACCCAAATCACGTGTGCTTGCAGCGACCACGTCCCCCCTGTGAGCTGATTCGACACTCTGGCGGCCGCCAACACACTGCTCTCCTCTTCACACACACATGGAGGACAGAGGAGATGACCGGGAAGAACCAGCACAGATTTGCCAAAAACAATCACATCCCCTGGCCAAGAGCCAATCACATCTTCCACAGCAACATGATAGAAGAGGAAAACCTTGATTTTCACAAGCTCTCCAGAGTATCCTTAAAGCCAATCTGGTCGCTTGGCCATAGAGGTAAGTGGAAGTTTGTCTGGATGAGTGGGCTCCAAGTCCGGCACACAGTCGGCTACTGTCGCACCCCTCTGGGCTGGATCCCAGGGCTGGAATCGCGCAGCCTCTTCTTTGAGCGACCTGCAGCACCGCACAGCACGCTCTGGACCAGCTCATGGGCGCCATCAAACTAACCACGGGACAAGGCCACTCGGAGGGTGCCTCATGTCAGAAGAAGGTCTGTGAGAGCTCACGCAAGAGCTGCACAAGGTTGAGGGCCCAGTGCGTGGGTTGAGGGCCCAGTGCTGCTGCCCCAACCACGTCAGGGTGCAGGAGCACCAGGACCAGCC